TGAATATTTACAAACGGCCGGCACACAGTTCGTCGTAGCACGAACTTTATTTTTCTCGCATAATGATTGATTCTGTTTAATCGAACGTTCACAAACTGTTCACCCCTACAACGGTATAAAGAAAGCGAATAGTTGCATTACTTTTCGAAGACGCGGCGTTCGCACGGGATGCTAATACTGTCCGCAAATACCGCAAATGGCACGTGAAATTGTTCTGTCGCACCGCTTTCGTCATCGTGCCGAAAAGATCCCGTCGTTCGTCCGTCGAGCGTCATAGAGAGGTGCGCAAATGCGGCCCGTGTGATCGTAAATCCGTGTGACTGTCGCGATTAGTCATAGTATATAAGGTGTACTAAAAATCCCGTGTTTTCTTTCAAAGTTCAAAACATAGCGAATTAATCTACACGATGTTAAAACGATCTTTGAGTCACGAGCGATTGAAACATGGTCGAGCATACTGAAAATCAAAGGTCTTCCCTCGTCGAAAAGGGAGCAATTTAATTGTATGTATACGGGAAGGAATGGATCGCGCATTTCCGGGCTCACATTTCGGAATCGTATCGCGATTTCCTCTGTTATATAAACGGCATGTCAATCTTATTTTCGATACGCTCTATTGCTCATTCGCGCAAATATTCCAAGAAAAACGTGCAGTTGAAGGCCGTAAAATTTATTGCATCCACAGTCGAAGCGGTCACGTGGTTTATACTGCGCACGATCCGGGTTGCGGAGACGCACGGAACGTTGGAGGCGTTTAGAATAGCGATAAATCACGGCAAATGAAAATCATACTTTGTGCATACGCCGTATTCGCCCGTCGTATTCCGCATTATCCGTCATGATCGTCACACGTTTTTCAAACGAACGCGAAACGTTCGCACCACCGCGCGATCCGAATTCCAAGTGGCTCGAGTATCCAATAAACGCGTGTTTGTCGGCGCGCAACGGTTTCAAACGAGCTGCGTGCTATGCACCGCTGATTGGAAATTCCACGATTCTCGCGTATCCGTATCGCTTGACCCCCGGGAGATCTCGGTTTTCGCAATGCGTGACCTTTTTTTTACGCGAAAACGCGTGCGGGAAATCGCCGGATGTAGCGTGTCTTCGAGAGCGCTTTACGTGCGAGCCGCGCTCGCTGCAAGATATAAGAGACGCTCGGGATCAGAATGTGTGTCTCCATTGTGTTTAGCCAGCATCGAGTAAAGCTTTTATCGCATACATCCTGTTTTCGTACGCGGTACAGAACAGTGCGTTGACAAACGATCGCGCGATAAAAAAAATCAGATCACAAAGAAAAAAAAATTAGAAATGAAAATATTTTGTAATTCTTTGTCCTCAATTTGTTGAAAATATACCGGGTGTGGAGTGTTATAGCCGGAACGCGCGAGACGGAGTCACGTGTCGCACCACTCTACCACATTCGAACGTTCCTATACCGCGAGGACGACGCGCGCGGCGGCGGCGACGACGACGACGACGATAATAATTATAATCGGACACCACGTTTCCCGGACGGCGATGTCGCGCGCGCGTCGCGAAACTTCGGGCGACGGCACGTTACTGGAAACTGGGCCCCTATCGCTCCGCACGGCCGACGATACGTTTCTCTTCTTCCTCTTTCCTTTACTTGCGTCGAGACACCTACACTTAGGTATCTCACGCGTGCGTTGGGCGGCTGTGCGTATCACCCGCACACACGCTTATGTATGCATCCTCGTCGCGAATGACGGCGTAACTCTGATAACACCGGAGTACGAGCGAGGAATATCGCAGTTCGTTCGTACCCGACGATGCAGCTCACGATTACCCACTTTTTTTCATTTCGCTATCCGCGTCGAAGGATGTTAGCGCTTTCATCGATATACGATTATCAAAAGCTCAAATGACGATTGCCAATAACATTGTTGATATTTGCGATCTATTGACGATAAATAAATCTGTAAAATTGACTTCGAGCAGGAAAGGTCAGGAGATGCGCAAACCGATTGAAGCGAATCACGTGTGAGATAATTATTAAATACAGAGGGTCGGTGTAATGACAAGTAGCGGTCGTTTAAGGATAACAGTTCACGGATTTCACTGACATGAGGGCATTGCTACAGGAAGGAAAAATGATGAAGCGCCTCTTACAAGTTTGACTGCCATTGTATGGAAATGCAAGAAATCGGTGTCACAGTAATTGCATCATTATTAACACATGCAACATTAAATTTAACATACGCCAGTGTGTTCAATATAAAGAAAATATTCTACTGTGTATTTATTATATACTTTAGGTATATATAACGATACCATCATTTAAATTCTCACCACAAAGTTTTCAGATATTAATTAAAATATGTGTCCACTCGTTTTTCGTAAAAGATACGAGTTAAAATCAACTGACAAGACAAAAACAAAAATTCGTTAAAATATATTAAGGAAATAATTTAATGAACAAAGAAAAAAAATTAAGCCTCTTATAATATATTAAATTAAAAAAAAACAAAAAAGAAAAAATAATTAAATAGTTGTAATAATTATAAATTATTCACACAATGAATTTTGTATAGACATGTCAATAATAAATTTAGCATATATTATGGAGATAACAAGTGAACTCTAAATTTGTATTACATATTTGAAATTTAGAAACGCGTTAAATGCGTAAATGCGAAATACAGACAGTTTTCCATATTGCCGATTTGATCTTTTATCGCGTTTATATTCGTGTCATGAACAAAGGTGCTTTGAGAATAACACGAAACTCGGCGCGATATGTATGTAGTGACTCAGCGTTTACAGATTAGTGTCAGTTACGTGTGTGCGATAGGGAACCTTTTATACCTCAGCGCGAAGTTAAAACAATCATGACAAAAATATTCGCGATGCCGTACGCACGTTAAAATAACACAGTCAATTATATAATACAGATATCGCCACATTAATACGTTTCCAAGTACGTAACGTATAATAGATTAATATTTTGCGTAAACATATAAACATAAGCATAAACGGATAAACTTAAAAAAAGAATTAGAAAGAAATTTATAAAATGGTTATTAATAATTAGTATAATAAATAATTATATGTAGAATAAAAAATAGCAATAACATTAATGTTATTGATGTATTATGTTGGAAAAATATTTTCAGAGAGATCAGATTCCTTTATGTTTTATTCTTTTGCCGTCTCTCCCTTCCACCCCTCCTTTCTTTTCTCTGTCTGTTTTTCTCTATACTGAGGAATTCAGAAAATCGTGTGTTCCCGCGCATTATGTAAACCATATGTATGAAGACTAAAGTAATATTATATCTCTCGACCATCGCGTCACAACACAATCTCTTAGCGATGAAAACACGTTCTGCTTTATGTTACTTTTTCTTCCTTTCTATTGTACAGTGCCACACAGTTTCGTGTATTTTACAATACTGAATGCTGAAATGACAACCAGATGCTATTACCTTTCACAATTTCACTTTCGAAAAAGTTGGGGTACATTTTTACAAGTCTACATACATCTAACTCGAAATTATTACAGACAAAACTTTGTAGGCGATATCGAAGACGAAAATTCAATATTCAGCTTTTGGAATTATTAATTTGAGAAAGTGAGCAAAAATTGAAATAAATCAATCTGTTATTTTCTAATCTTAATCCATCTTGTTACCACGGTTGTCATTTTCAAAGCAGTACTCTGCTGAACATCTGTTCTATTGATTACTGTTCTATCGATTTTTCAGTGCTTTCTAAAAAAAAAGATAAAAAATTTTGACCGTACTATTAACATTTCTATTTTAAGAGACTTCGTTGGGAAAATTCTTGGGAGTCTCCGGGCAAAAACTGGAGAGGTAACAACCCAAGTAACCTGCTTGTTACATGTCTCTATATAGATGATATAGTTTCTATATAGATACAGTGTTTAAAAACAGTCAAAAAGTTTATATAACGAATCGAATAAAAAAAAGTACTTAATTTTATTTTAAAAAGTAACCTCGACAAGTTAAACAAAAAACTATATTTATGGCGTTAAATACGAGCTTTATAATATCGCTGTTACAAATCAATAGCGTTTCGTACAATTAGCAAAGCAATAAATTTTAATATTTCTAATTTTATTTAATTATTTTGTTTGTTTTGGTAAACATATTATAAATGTTTCTAAATAGAATAAATTTTTCCCATTTGCATATAAGCAGGTGAGATAGTATCGATGCATAGCTATCTAAAGTAGCTCAATAACGAAAATAGTAAGTAAAAGATTAATTTTTAAAATGTCGATTCGATTATCCAATGATGTTTTAATTCTTCGTACGAAAAGTAAAATAATAAAATCTCGATGAATAAAATCTCAATCTCATGGAATTTAGAATCAACTCGAATATAAATAAATTTCATTGAATTAAATATGAAAAAATTCATTTATCGACTCCAATATTTATTTATTGTCTAATAGCAGTTTCAGTAGATCTCATATAAATTATTGAAATAACACTTTAAGCGTTTTTATTGAAAAATAGATTGTATCTAATCAAGAAACATACATATGCTATGACTTTATATCTGATGTCTTGGATTATTTCATCTCAGTAACAGATCGAAAGATTTTGCAATAAATAATCGAGGTTTCAATTATATAACGGAAACGTATTTTTGCTTTATGTACGTGCCTTAGGAACAGCGATATAATTTATAAAATATATGTGTATATACACATATATATATATATATATATATATATATATAGAATAGTATCCGTCTATAATCTACAGATAACAATTTTATTAAAAGATTGAAGACGATATTTATAAATTAATCCTACATGAATGTAATGATTGTTTTGAGTGTCCGATAATCTAGCTTTTTTAATTGCTTGAAGACTACCAAGTGTTTGTAGTTTTTTTTTTGTACGGAATTTTCTGAAGATCCTACGCAGATTAGGTTTCCTCTGGAAGATTTACGAATTTATGACTCGCTTGACAGATAACGGATTTTTACCGTATTTCGGATCTTGTTTTTCGAAGCTCGACTCAATGGCTCTCCTCTCTCGAATTTCGATCGTAAAGTCCCTGAAGTACGACGGTTCGCCGGTATTGACAAACAAAAGAACGGAATGGTCCAGAAAGGTCCGAGAAAAGATACGGGAGGGAAGGGACGTGCTGAGCGACGCGCATGCGCGCGCCAGGCATCGACGTAGCTGATTCGTCGAGAAGCGGCGTTAGCGGCGCACAGCAGCGAGCAGACGAGAACGAGCCGACCGAGCGGACTGGACAGATACGCATCTCGCGGTAGTCGCAGTTCACACTTCGCTCGAGTTCGTTACGTTGCGGATCGTCCGGTTGTCTCGGGTATAGAATTACGATTATCCCGACGCCGGTTTCGTCGATTACTCTGGTCTGGATATTTCGGTAGCCGAGATACGACACGAGGGAACCGAGTACGAATAAGTGGCCACAAGGTACGTGAGCTTAGAGCGGGAAAGCAGCGACGCATCTTATCGCGGCCATGTCGGCCCGGCAGCACTTTATTATCGATCGTCCGCCACGTGATGTAGACCCCCCCGTAATTATGCGCTAAACGCGAGATATCACTCGCCAACGGTGATACGTGTTGTCTTCCGCTAATCGAATCTGGTTTCCTGTGTAAAGTAGAATACGATATCCGAATACAAAGCACACACGTTTGCCCGCCGTAATATAATCGCAACGTGGCCTTTGCCTGAGAGAGGACTGGTATGGACTGGTATAAGCCCGCCTTTTTTCTGCTCGCGAAATTCAGTCTTCTAAATCACCTTGGCAATAAATGTTATTACGCTGTATCGATGCTTGAGAAAACACTGCTTGTTTTTTTTTTTTTTGCGTGAATCAGTTTCTGCTTAGAAATGTGCGGCAAAGAAACGAGAATGGAACGAGGAAAATTGCGATCAACTAGAAGCTCAGGAAATGAGAATACAATTCACACCAGTTTTTATTTTATATATCAAGTCTCAAATATGTACACATATGTTCTATATTAACAATACAAGGCATATGTGTTCTCAATTAAATTATATAAAAAAAACATCAGATCACTTTATATTCCCATGATTTGGGTTTTTAGATGTCCCGAAATTGTTTCCATGAAAAATCAACTTTTTTTTTGTATTGACTGTCTTCTTATTTTTGTATCGTAATGTTTACAATAGAATAATTGTTGAAAAAACGGGCGTCCATCGAAAGTCCTTCAAATAATTCTATGGCAACCGTGTTATTATGTGTATATTTGAGACTTGATATATAAAATAAGAATTGGTGTGATTTGTATTCTCATTTCCTGAGCTTAGCTTCTAGCTAATCACATTTTTCCTCGTTCTTGTTTGCTGTATATTTCCAAGCAAAAACTAATGTATACAAAAAACAAAAGCAGGGTTTCTCAAGCATCAATACAATGTAATATCATTTATTGCCAAGGTGATTTAGAAGACTAAATTGTATCTTTGGTTAAACGGTTATTTAGAAATTTTACGTAGGAAATTTCGTCATATGTAATTGTAAAGTTAATTTTTCTATTGGTTGGATACAATTTTAACAGAATCTTAAATACAAATTTGAATTATGAATATTATTCTGTGAAGAAAACTTTTTTAATTAGTTTAGCTCAACATATCAATTATCTTTTCAATTTATTTACTAGTTTATCAATCTTTATACATTTAAATAGTTTAAATCATTTAATTAAAAGTTTATTATTTGGTTTAATTACTTTTGTCATCTTGTAATCTTGGATATTAATTTGTTAATAGTATAATTTATATTATTGAACAAAAATTTTCAATTTAATTATATTAAATGTATATTTTTTTATTTTGGGTATTTACATGTTACATGTATATATAACTGCAAAATCTTAATTACAGATAAAAATTATGGAAGATCAGTGGGCAATTGACGATACGTTAGATTTTTCTCAACCAGCGCCAGTAAACATGTCTTCCGTAAGGATATGTCATTTACATAATTAATTTTAAAAAATATATAAAAATAAGTAATAATAAAATAATCGTTAATTGTTTTAATAGTTTGAAGAAGGGCGTGCCCCCTGCCGGGGTAAGGGACGTGGCGCAGTATTCAACAACAACGATGACACAAATATAGGAGGATTTGATAGTACCTACGATGAAAATACTAGACATAACGGCGATAATAAATTTGGAGGAAGACAAACCAATGATAGGCGTTATGGAAACAGAGGTGACAATGATCGTAGGTGGCAGGGCAATAGGGATAGAAATAATGATAGCCAAAATAGAGATGATAATGATGGCGAAACTGAGGATAATGGTTACGATGGAGGTTATCAAAGCGATAGAAGGCCCAGAAGAGACAGAGATGATAACAGAGGTGAAAGAGGTGAAAGAGGTGGTAGAGGAGGCAGAGGTGGAAGAGGCGGACGAGGCGGAAGAGATGGCGGTTACGACAGAAACAGGAGTGATGATGATAATAGAGGTGGAAGACGCGGTGGTTACGGTAGAAACAATAGCGATGATAACGATGGTTACAACGATTCTGAAGACAAGGGACGCAGAAGAAACGATGACTCTAAGGAAGGCGATGAGCCGAAGAAAAGAGAGATTTATATCCCGCCGGAACAACCTGACGATGAAGGTTCCTTATTCGGGAACGATGTGTCAATGGGGATAAACTTCGATAAGTACGATGATATTGAAGTAAAAGTGACCGGTGAGAATGCACCGCGTCCGATACAGTCCTTTGATAAATCCGGCCTGAGAAGTATCCTGTTGGACAATATCAGGAAGTCGGGCTACACGAAACCTACTCCCGTCCAGAAGTACGCCATTCCGATTATAATGAGCGGCCGTGACTTAATGGCTTGCGCGCAAACGGGTTCGGGTAAAACTGCGGCGTTCGTGGTACCTATTCTTAATACTCTGTTGGAAAATCCACGAGATTTGGTTAAAACGTCCACTTACTGCGAACCACAGGTGATCATTGTATCGCCTACACGCGAGCTTACCTCGCAGATCCATCAGCAAGTCAAGAAATTCTCTTTGAGCTCTATCATACGGGCCGAGCTTGCCTACGGAGGAACATCGGTAATGCATCAATCGAATAAGGTGCTCAACGGTTGCCATATTCTAGTCGCAACTCCAGGTAGACTGTTAGATTTTATGGGACGAGGCAAGATTAGACTTTCCTCCTTGCGCTTTCTTGTACTGGATGAAGCCGATAGAATGCTCGATATGGGTTTCCTGCCAGATATTGAAAAGATTATAGATCATGAAACGATGGTAGCTGCAGAGGAGAGGCAGACGCTCATGTTCTCCGCTACATTCCCAAATGAAATACAAGAACTTGCAAGTCGATTTTTGCAAAATTATTTGTTCCTCGCAGTTGGAATCGTCGGCGGTGCTTGCGCTGACGTAGAACAGAACTTTTATCAAGCGTCTGGTCAGTCCGACAAGCGAAAGTTGTTGAAAGAGTTGGTAGAGAAACAAAATCAACTAGGAAATTTAGAAGGTACTTTAGTATTTGTCGAGCAGAAGAGACACACGGACTTCATCGCGGCCTTCTTGTCGGAAAGCAATTTTCCAACGACCAGTATACATGGCGACAGATTGCAGAGGGAACGAGAAGAAGCTCTATATGACTTCAAACGAGGAAAAATGTTAATTCTAGTGGCAACGGCGGTTGCCGCGCGAGGCTTGGATATTAAAAATGTCTCGCACGTAATTAACTTCGATATGCCAAAGACTATTGATGAATATGTTCATAGAATCGGACGAACTGGTCGGGTTGGAAATCGCGGCAAAGCGACTTCATTTTTTGATTCAAGTTCTGATATAGCTCTCACTGAGGACTTGGTCAAGATCTTGAAACAAGCTAGTCAACCGGTACCTGACTGGTTAGAATCTGGTGGCGGTGGCGGAAGAAGCTTTGTACCAGGAAAGGGGAGAAGATTCGGCGGGGAAGATATTAGAGGCGTAAGTATAACATGATAATTACATTTTTGATCGAATATTAAAATTCATTTCTGTTAAAATCGTATTATGTTGTCGATGAACAGTGAGAATTCTACGTTATGAATCGAGATGAATTCTTTGAGCAAATCAGAGCTTTTATAACAGGTATATAATATTTATAAATTGTGTTTTTCTGTGCAGAACAACAATGCGTATGGTGATGAGGCATCTGATTATGCACCTCCTGTGTCAGCAGAACCAGAAGAAGTGTGGTAGATCAGAGTGGTAGATCTTCATATTTTATATAATGTATGAAGTACTACTTTGTTTTTGTTAAAAAATTCCAAAGTTCTATAGGCTTTAATTAGGAAGAAGTGTATGAGCGGTATGACAATAATTGTTTTTTTGTTTCTTTTTAATTTTTTATTATGATGTGCATTAGTTACCAAGTTCCTAATAGTGAGAAAAAAATGCTATATGCATTTGGATTTATATTACTACCTCAAACTTTTGAGTATAGAGTTAAGTTATTTTCAATGATTAAGTTAAATTACATGATTTTATAGATTACATACACGCACATACATACATGCTTACACATACACTTGTATTGTTTGTTTAAACCATATATTGAACAAAAATTATAATTTTTGATAGTGATGTAATAATTATGGTATATCTTCTTTTTATAATAATTATGGTATATTTTCTTTTTTTTTTCTTTTTTTTTTTAAAGATAAGTTCGTCTTAACATGATATGACACTACAAACATACCATTGATTAATTCTTTACTAGTGATATTAAATTCAAGACATGGACGATCGCGTAGAATATAACTTCATATAAAAAATGTAATTTATAATGAATAACTATTGATTTTTTTTCGTTATCACATACACTTCACTTTAATATTAATTTTTTATCTAAAAAATTTTAAAAAATTTGCTAAAAATTCTGTGAAAAAATGCATTTTTATTAAAACAAACATGCCAAAAACTAGTAACATGAAATTATTCTAAATATGAAGTATATATTCTACACCCCGTACGATCATCGAAAGGTTAAAGAATGATTTATATTTCGTAATTATAGTTTGTTACGAAAATTGTATTTAGTTCCTTGATGCGTTATATTTTTGCGTTATGTTATAATAAGTATAATGTATAATAAAGTTTTATACTTTTATAATGAAATTTTTTTTGGTTGTAATACTTTTTTAGATGAATTCTAATAATAAATTGCTTTAATAGATTCTGGATATATTGATAGAGAAATTAGTACATTCTTATTATTAATAATTATAATTTAATAAAATGAAAAGAATAAAGAAAATAAAGTAATAGGTTCTATCGAAAGTTGCATTAGGAAAATACTATAATTTAGTTTCCATTTTTGAATAGCAATTTAATTCATTAATTTTTACTTACGTACACAAGTCACAAACCAATTTACCAATTATATTTTATATCCAACCAATAAAAATATATTTTGACATACATAGAAGATGTTTTAAGAGGCTTTTTATCTTTAAAAATAGTCAATTTTTCAATTTTCTGTTTTCTATACAGTTTCTTGTAATTAAAATTCATTAATGTTCCCAAAAAATTTTATAAAAATTCTCAAAGAAATTAATATATTTTCTATATTATATTACATTTTTTTAAATATCTATATTTCTGTATATTTAAATTTCGTTAATTAGTTATGAATACATTAATAAAGCGGTAAGATTTTGGTATTGGAAGAATGTACGCTCTGATGTAACAATGATAAAAGTATATAGCGATGATAATACTTACCGTCGTTCATGGCCATGTCCATTAGGTGCAAATCCTCATCATTGAGTAGAGACGAAAGAAATCCGTCGGTGGTCTGGTTGATGGAATCTGTCGTCGGGGTATGATAATACATCATATCGGTAGGTTCAGACTTGTAACTCGCGCCGCTCTCTGCACCCATTGGCTCACTACTGTTTGTCAAATTCATCGATGTTGCCACAGCTGAACCCAAATTCGACGACCCACCTGTAACAGTGAGCAGCTTAGTTCAGACAATGAAATCTCTTAGATGATACTTTTAAATTACTGCATTCCTCCATCTTCTTTTTCGTAAAAATTGATGACATCGGCTGGAGTTTTGTACGAGTACGTGAATGAGAGAGACATAGATTGTGAATTATGCTTTGGAAATTGTACAACTTACGTATTAGACTTGCCACAAGTACAGAAAATATTTTGACTAGAGATTAGATTTCGTACACCTCTGATGTATGCATCGCATGTTAGCTTCACTTATCTCAACGATATAAATTCACGTTGCGAAATTTCGTTGTGTCACAGAGAAAGAGATAATAATATATGACTTAATATAAAATATAGGAACAAAGAACTTCCGTACAACTTTGGGCAACACTCACCCACATTGTGGTAAGGTCCTGTTGAATTGAGGTCCCCGACCGGAGGCGCTAAGGTAGGATTATGGAGCAATACGTTACGTTGCGCCTCGTAATGACTGTGACTTATACCGTGTCCTGGATATCCAGGATGCGCTGGATGTGCGAAGTGATCCGGTGCTCCCGGAAGGGATAAAAGAGATGCGAGATCTTGCCACCGCTGTTCCATACTCATCGCTCGCATGAATGGCATGCGACCCTGAAACGAATAAATTTCATTTTTCTAATTACAGTATTCATATAAAAAAAAATGACTTTAATGCGTATCACAATGAATAGTAACTGATTATTTGGACATTTAAAATCTGTCAAAGAATATATACATCTCATGCTATACTGCAAAGATAAAATTTTATAACCGAAATGAGACATCCGTTATTTTTAATATTCGAGGATTATTAAAATTTAAAAATTTTAAACTTAATAACTTCAAAAATTTTTAACTATGTAGATATAATTAATATCGCTATCTTTCTCTCTCTCTCTTTCTCTCTCTTTCGTTGAACTCTCGACAAGTTTTGTTCGCGTTTGAAACCAAATCCACGAAATTCTACGCGGTCGTCGACCCTCATAGCAATTATCTTATCTGGTACATCCTATTATCATAGAATCGAGCATCCATCGATCGAATGTCACGCAAGAGGAATCCCGTAGCCTGTCGTGCCTGTCAGATGTCAACCAGGTAGACACCTGGATTCCAAGGAGACACGAACCCCCGCTGATCGCGTAGGTGTTGGCTGCACGTAAGATCGGTAAAGGATATTAATAACAGCGGGTACTACGTGTCAAAAGTATCCTTTTCCCCTTGTAAGGGTATGCGTCAATCGTGATCGCATGTCAATCAATGCGGAAATTATGACGGGCGAAATTTATGATTAAAAAACGCAGCACGTTTATAGGTAGCCACCAAAAAGAGTATAAGTTATGAGGTTTAATTCGTTGGAACGATACGATAAATACTTTTGCATGGAAAGTGCAGTTGTACTATTTTTTTTTTTTTTTTTGTACCATCAATATCCTTCCGCCGGGGTAAAGTCATATTCATAAGCACGTGAAATAAAATGTACAGATTAACACATTAAATCGTACGTTACACAGGTAAATAATGAACGTCTTGTTAGCATATTTCTTATATGTCTACTTGATAAGGAGCGCGGCGTAATAACAGGAAACACGGAATTATCTCCGATTCCTCTCTCGAGGCGCGCGTTTTACGCTTTCGAGGAAAAACATCTGCGAATTTCATACGGTACGAGAGTATAAAAATCTCTCTCTTTCTCTCCCGGGCGACATGCGCGCGAAGAGAATCACGATTTGTCCGCTAATTGTGAGAGAACAGTCGTTTCGCGTGTATGTACTTTCACGAAATTTCTTCCCGTCCCGCTCGCGGCTCGGCGAGTCGCGGAGGGAGGGCAAGGGGAGATGGGAGAGACGCGCGAGGCTGCACGGCTGCATCGCGCGCGGCGTAAGCGCGGTAGTGCCAGCGCCGGGCGGCGGGCCGGGGGTACGTACCCACACCGGCGCCTTAATGCACATAGGTATTGTCGCTAATGCGCCTGGGCGCAAGAAGAAGATGAATAGGGAAGCGCTGCCGTGGCTGGCTGTGCGCGCCGGGCCTGCTGGATTGTTGTTCGCGGGTGCATCAATCAGTCGCCGGTGCAATCTGTCGAGCGCGACGCCTTTAAGGCGATTCTCGCTTGTCAGCGCATCTGCCGGCTGTGTAGGCCGCGGCGCGGCGAAATGTAGGACGGGGACTTTTGTTCCACGGCGCGATTTGTCGTGCAGCGCGACGCACCGCACGTTTCTAATGGCCGGACTTTACGGCTCATCCTGGTTCGACGTAACGGCCGTGATTGAGTTATAGGAAAAAAGCGTGCGCCGCGTTTAAGCCTCTCCTCCTTCTCTTTCTCTTTCCTGTCGTGGAGAGACGACGGCGATTACCGTCCGCGACGCGGCGAAGTGCGACAGCTTTCCGCCGCGCCGGAACGCGACTTCCAGTTTTCAATCATCGTCGGGAATACTCGAGATTCGTTATAGCTCGTGGCGGATTAATCCGTGACGGAGATCGTTAACGGACGTCGTCCGCGCTGCGACCGAGGAACCGGAGTTCTCGGACGGGTGGATTAATTTTGAGTGCGTATATATAGAGAGACGCGATTGCGGACTTTTAATTGGCGATTTTATTTAATCCTTTATCCACAATGTTGAATATATTTATTCCAATAACGCTCAACTTTTGCACGCGGTAAACTACGGAGGAAGTTTATACAAGGAAACGCGGGGCCCGCGAAGCGTGGTACGAAGATCGACGGCTGTTAATCCCGCGCGATTAGATGCACGAAGCGTGATTTATCGGACAGCCGTCGGGGGCTGCCCGACATAGCGTTCATTCTGACGAATCCACGTCTCAAATTGGTTTGGTATCCATACGAGTGCGGTAAACGAACGTTACGTTACGCATTCCTCGTCAGCTACTGGCGCTTATGATTTATGTACCACACACAGGACGTACGGTGCACGTACACGGCGCGTATCTCACGTCTGTGTGCGCGATCTCGCTTCGCGAGCACGGCATAGCCGTCGCGGAACGTATATGAATCTGCGAGAGACTGCGAGGAAAGATATCTACGGCGGCAGATGTTTGAAACGCGCTGTCGAGGACTCGCTAGATTTCTTCCGAGATCTCTCCCTCTCTCGCTCTTTCTCTCTGTTTCCTTCTGTCTACCCCCCTTTACCCCTGCAGCTATGTGCTCTTTTTCTTCTGATATTCATTAATATCGCGCGCAATCCCCCCCGATGCCTTATCAAATCCATCACAAGAGTTCCCGCAGAAACAGATCTGAGATTTGTATGAAATTGATTTTACTCTGGTTCGTTAGAAAGCGCATTCACCGCCGGTATTTGCATTTGTATTGTCATTCAACACGCGCTACTTTAATCGGATATGTTTCCAATGGAAACAATCTCGAAATGAGTTCTATTAATATAGTAATGAGCGTAACAGTTTTAGTCAATTATCAATAACTACTAATAAAACACAAGCACGCGGAACGCGTTCGAATTAACAGACTTCGTCGTTATACGTCTTTTTTTTTCCGCACTGAACCTGCCTCATAGAAATATCATGTTGAATGCTCGTCTGTCTATTTCTCTCGTTATGTCTCCTCTCTTTAAAGCGCCATAAAACGCGATCGGTCTCTCCTTTCAGGATTGTCGTCTGCAATTTTGTTTTTATTCCGCCTATAACCGTCCGCGGCGAGCTGCAGCGAAACTATTTCGATCTATTTGACAGTGATCAACTGACCGCTTGACACCTGCCATCGCCGTCGTTTAACCCGCCGTCTCTCCACGGTCCTCGATCAGTTACCTCGAGTTACCTACTTTTCACCTCAACACGTCGCGTGTGTTTTCGTACGTGACTGCTGGCAAAGCTCGTTTCTGTCACGGAGGTTGTGAATGAAAATATTGATGGATACGGATTCAGCCCCTCACCCTTTATGCACGTCGCGGTATGTGGAAAAAAATATATTTGTGTCTACCTTCCCCCGATTCGCTCTCCGAGAGAGAGCTAGAAATTATTCCCAGGCCTCCGACCGCGATCATACCGCGCGCATACCTGTAACGACAGGTCCGTTCGATCGTATCTCGTTCAAGGTTGCGTGGTTTAATCGGCAGGAGAGTATCCTTAATTAGCGAAAATTGCGTCGGAGCGCCGCGTTCGACATTCACATGGCGCCGATATCCTGCCACGTCGTCTGTCGTCTTTGTTGCATCCACGCGTGGCCTCAATGACCATACGAAGACAGAAATTCGTTTCACACATCCTAGATAGCTCCGGCCGCGGAGGCGCATTATGCATTTCACAGCGCATAAGTCCAGCAGCTGCTTGGAATCCTGGCGAACGGAACGGACTGTGACGCCCCGTCGCGTTTCTTGGTTCTTGGTGAAAATTGCCTGGTCGGGGTGCGCGTACGTAGGAATTTATGGGCGACAGAAGTGCGCTAAAAACTCAACTTTCTCGCGGGAGACTTTTGATATTACGCGAAATTGACGTGCATCAGGGATTTTATGAACATTGCATGCGTTCGTGGCAATTTCGTGCACGAACGAAGAATATTTACAGTTAATCGATTACATCGACTTAAACAATTACAATTATCTTGAGACCATCTGTATCATACTTGTTCATACATGTGTCTAATAGAACCGTTAATAATAAGATAAACTCGTTAACGTTGTCATTTTTATCTGAAGGGAAATATAGAAAGATTATCATTAAATTTGTATCATCAAACGTAATATTCTTAACATTTTGATGAAACCGGCTTTAAGAATTAAACTGATCTTAATATGGGAAAACAAATTTGACACAAATATTTCTGCACATGACGGGCGAACAGTTTCCGGAGGGCGGTAGAAGTACTGCCGACCGTATCGCGATTTCGATAAATACCGGATGTTACGTCCGTTTTTGAGACACACCAACCGGGCGGCCGGAAACGGCGATCTCGTAATGCGTCATCGGCAGAGCGCAAGTAATTAAAGATACGCGAGAAAAAACGTGCGCATTACCCGTGGTCGCAGGTATGCTCTTAACGACTAATGGGCGAAGATATTAATTATGATTCATTCGGATTCATAGTCATCAGATTAATGCATGCCGACGTGGGTTACCGCGGCCGGCGGGTTTGCGCGCCAAGTTCTTCGTCTATCGCCACAAGTGCATCCTAATGTCCGACCAGTGCGTCTACGGCTCTCTTTCTCTCTCTCTCTCTCTCTCTCTCTCTCTCTCTCTCTCTCTCTCTCTCTCACCCGCCTTTCTCATTTCCATAGCATACGTTTTCGTTTCTCTTATTAATTTCGTCCTTACGGCCTCTCCGGGGCTCGCAATCCGCCACTCGTCTCCGTCTCCGTTTCCACCGCGCGGATTGCCCTCTCTCACGATCCTCTTTCTCTACCCCTTTATCTCCCGCGCTCGCCTCTTTTTTCCCTGCCACGATCCCTCCGTCCACCGACTTTCTTTCCTCTCGATTCGTAACTCGGTGTTATACGTAAATATTGTTCGGCAGTCCAAGGATACCTGGAGGGCTCTCCTCCGGCGCTCGAGGCTCTAAGCAAATATTCAAGTGCCACGGCAAATAGCACGCTACCGGCGCGGCCGCTCACGGCCTAGCAAATCCTTGTGCAAAGATATACGGC